CTAACATCTTGTGACATAGCGTACTTCACAATACTTCTCCAATTAGACTTTACATGTAGGTTTGGCCTGTCCTCTTTCCAATTTGGAGCTATTTCCAAGTATTAGGGAGGTTTCGCACGGGAACGCGTACAGTTAGTGTGACGGATACTTCATTATTTTGACGTTATACGACGGCTGCTATCCGCTAAATGTGTGGACGACACGCATATCTCTCTCACTACACATAAGTGAAAAACGCGTAGGGAAATTTTGGATTTCTAGTAGGATCTTCGTGTATTTTTTCACATTTTACGTAAGTGTAAAAAATAAATGTATCCTTGAATATGTATGTGCCATTTTTGTGACATCTGAAGACAGCAAATTACGATAGGATGCGTCTCATTTTGTGGTGTCAGGATTTTGTGTAGGCCTAGGCCTACTTGTAGCCAGGCACTTTTGGGTCATAAACAATAGGGCCTATCACAAAATAACCAACACTTCTGGACAACAAAGGAAGTATTTTTTGGCTACAATTTTTAATTTCAATTTCCAAAACCTTACATATACTAATAAAACTTTGAAAAGCATGATGAGAGAAGAGTGCAGTGTATAGTAGGCCTAAGCTAAGGACCTAGGCTACACTTGAATTGCACGCTGTGACTGCGAAAAACACAGGATGGCTACGAACCATTACGGATAGCTAAACTTATGTGTACACGTATTCGTTCGCGTGGTAAACCTCTCTAATAAAGACCCTCAATTAACAAAGATACCATCATAGTATTCACGCCATTGAAATACAGCAACACATTAAACCTCAGGAATTAATACTAATGTTTTTACCTTAATACAATTTGCATTTCCATTGCAAATCCAATACCATAGGTGAAATCAGTACTTTGTAATTTATTTTACTATAGTGGTCACTTTATCCTGGTGCTATGTTTATATACAGTATTACTTAATGTAGTTCTTGGCCTGGGTACCTCCTCTACTCACGGTCTCTGTGCAGACCACCCTCAGCGACAGAGAGACTGAGCTCCATGTAGGTGGAGACAGTTTTTGTACATGGATCATACCATACAATGGCATGTTCTCTGTGGTAGGCTTAATTTTTACAAGTTTATAATAAAGTGAACAGTCATCATCAAAAGCCTACAGCTTCTAGAACCTTCCTGCCTACTCGGATGTTGGGATTTGCCATTGGGTCTAGGAATGGGTCCTTGTCAGCAGATGCCCTCCCAACTTGTGTGAAGATGACAACTATCGTAAAGAAGGCAATGACTCCAATGATTAGGATCACTGCATAGCGTTTCATAGATCCACCTGGCTCTTTAATTGATTTTTCGCTAGTTCTACTCCTGGAAAAAAATAATTGTTATAAAATTGTCAAATAACAGTGGTCAATCAATGATTTCATATCATGGGTTGTGGTTGAAAATATCAATGTTGACAGGTAAAAGCTCTGGAACCACCATTAACTCAATGTGTAAAATTGATACAAAAAATTAAAAGATGGATGAAAAAGATCCAGAAAGCCGTAAAGAAACCTACAAATGCAGAGCTGGTCAATAAACTATGTTACTAAGCTGAAAGAAGGGAGTTGTTTAAAGGCATCAAGAAAATTCACCTTCTTTTGAGGAATTGTAGCCAGTACCCTGTGACTGTAAGATAGGCACCATAACCATGAAAAGTTAACTCTTACTCACTTGAACCATCTTGCGAACCAATGAAGTGCACTTCTTCGCTTGTATTTATCAACATCATGATCGTGTATAATATCAACTACTTCTTCACCTTTAGTAGCATCGTACATCTTACGTCCTGCTTGGGCTACCAGGTGGAAGTAATGTATACAAAAAATGTTTCA